TACTTAGGTGTTCTTCAATGAAGGGAACAGCTTTCAGCTCAACCCTTTGGTGTTCATTTGCTCTGTAGCTGGCCTTTGCATTCAAGAGGCTAAATTTATCTAAGTTGAATCAGGTGTAGCCTCTTGGGTAAAGAGCATGCATAAGGCATCTGTGGGTAAGCAAGGATTAGACTCATTGTTGAAAAAGATGAAATTTTAAGCGATGGTGATGCCGAGAGAACAATGGATGCCTGCATTCCTGTTCTTGACCTCATTGTCATTGTACACACGAAATTCCATCTCTTATATGGTATTAATTGATGAAACTTCTTGACATGCGCCATTGATAAAGCTGTGCAGGTTTGCCATCCTACTCCCTGTGTTTTTCAGTAAAAGCTTGAAACATTGTATATAATACTATGACTACCGTTTTTTTTTCTGTGGATATATATTTACAGAAAAGCCATGTTTTCCCAAGTGAATGGCCAGCAGAATGCAGAGTTTTTATTTACAGTATTTCAGGGAAAAACTTTATAGAGAAATCTATTGGTGTAGTTTTTTGTGTGGCCACTGGCCTATCATTTAGACATTTTTTTAATATTAATGGTCAAGTTGAGAAGTTTGGTTGCAGCGGTACCAGAGTCACAGGGACATTCCTTGCTTACTCGATCTTGCCTTGTTTAGGGTCAGTGTCTAGCTATTCTAGTTGGTTGTAGTAGGCTAGATATTCTGACTTCTGAGATAATTTTCACTGCCATTTTATTCTACATCTGGGTTTCTTAAGTGTTATATTGCTTATTGTGGTGCAAGCTTTTGTCTTATAGGGTTTGCATCACTGTCCACTTATACCGATTTTCTCATTCTTGCTTATATGTGCAGAAGCTTTCCATAAATAGAAAAAAAATTGCTTAGTGAGTTCTTAAGGGGCACATGTGACAAACTTGAATGGGATCAGCACTAGTGGCTATGAGGCAACTGTACATTCAGAGCCCACTTTGTAAGTTGACATCTGAAGTATCTCATTCGATTTGGTTATTTCATACATTTCGTTGATATGTTGGTCTCAAATAGATATCTTTCTGTAGACCTCTATGAGACGTTGAGAAGGCAAAAGAAAAGTGATTCTGATCCATTCGGCTGTGTGGTTCCATCATGCTCATTGGGCAAGCATGCTGCAATTGTTACTGGATCATCTTTTCAGATTATCTGGAACAACAAATCAGGTAACCTGGTCTTCTGCCCACCTGAGCTTATTATTTTCATTGGAAAAGCTTGGGCCCATATCTTGTGGGGTCCTAGGCTTTCTAGATGTCCCTAGAAAGCTCTGCTGCTGCTTGATATGGTTGAACCAAATGTAATGTTACTTCTGTGTTTTAATATATCTGTATGGCATATATGATTTCTCACTCTTGGTGAGGACCGACCAACAAAAGGCAAGGTACACGTGCTTGGATGATGTTGGCTCCATTGTAGAAGAGATGTTGGTTGAAGATGGGTGTTCATCTCCTGAGCTGGAATGTACCCTTGTTAAGGCAACCTTTGAGCTCGAAAAGCAAGACATTGAGCAGCTCATGATAGCATGAAGATTAACTTGAGTTCAAAACAAAATGCAAATGCTGTGAATGATTCTGGTGATTGAGCTGGAGTAATACAGCTGCAACAAATGCAAAATCACCCATCCATGTTGGGACAGGCCTGCAACGGTGGAGAACAATTCCGCTGATCGGTGAGACTGGATGCAAAAAAAGGCGAAGGGCAAGAAAACTGTACCTAGCTGAAATTGATACTTGTTCTGATCAGGCTGCTACGTTGGAATCGGATGGAGCTGATAGTAACAGGGAGAGAAAATGAATTACATGTGAGGCTCTGAAGAAAAAACATGGAATGGGACCCTTGGAGCAGCATGTCATTATCTCCATAAGAAAGTACATGAGGGCAATTGACACTTCACTAAGCAGTAGCAGGAATCTTGTCCTTTCTTTCTGCCCATCCAACTAGAATAAGAACTATAAACTCAATTCAAGACATGAAAGTGGACAACGAAGGTAGTCTCAGTGGTTGGAGGAGAGCTAGTAGACCAGACACCTTCACCAAGAAGAAAAAGGAAAGCAGATAGAGGTGAGTGGTACCTGGGAGACCGGAGAAGGAATGTGGTCCTTGCAAAGGCGATTGTAGTCAGGAGTCAGGACTCTTGAGGTAAGTATTAGACAAGACAACATCTATGTGAAGCAAAACGAAGTCAGATGTAGGTAATGGCACCTGGGAGGTGGGGGCTGGCTCTGCATGGAACATGAGATGAATATGGATCAGTACTGCTGGGCCACTAAATGGGGCAAGAAGTCAGATGGGATCGAAAGAAGACAAATGTGGATCAAGACTCTTCCTGGGGTAACAACGCCTAAATCGAGCAATGCTTGGATTGCTGACGTGGGAGATGGAGGATCGCATGCTTAACAAATCTTATCCAAGCTCCAGTGGGCGCGATGATCAAGGTTCAAAAGAACCTGCTGTTACCAAGAAAGGTGAGATGAAGGCTGATGAGCATTCGAACCATAGAATTTGGCCCCTTGAATTCAGGGGAACCAAATGAAGTTCCTGAAGGGTCCCATTCATAGAGGATCCCGACGTCCCTTACACTGAACTGGGCTGTTATAGGCCCACTAAAACATACTGCAACCAAATGAAAAATAATAACTTGTTGAGATTGGGGTGTTCCAACCAAAAGGAAATTTGTTCTGGCTAAAGCTTGGACTGTATAGATCAGAAAAAAAAACTAAATGTTCCAACTTCCAACACATTCCTCTTCCTGCTTTCAGGTGCGGTAGCGACGGGCGTTCGACTCGCGCAGGCGCGGCCATAGCAACCGGAAGGACGGGCTGGGCTGGTGGCGGCGCTCCTCGGTCCTCGCGCACGGCAGATGGTGTCGCGGCAATCCATCCGGTGGGCCCCAGGGCGAGGCGAAAGTGGAAGCTGCGCAAAAGGCCCAAAAAGAACCGAAGGAGGATTCGGCCCACGCAGAGAATGTGTTCAGCGGGCCGACTTGGTTGCCGCCTGCTGAGGCCAAAGCCCAGAAAAGTCCCCCTTCGTTCTGCCACGGCTAGTTGGCGTTGGCGACCTCGCGCCGTGCCGACAACCGCCATTGTTTCCACGGCATTTCTATCAGGGCGGGGGGCATCCTCGTGACAAGCGCCCAGCTCCTCCAAGTTAGGGTTCTGCTCCATTCCTTGGGTTCCTTCCGTATCGCCTGCGTGAGTAATAACCCCATTCGCCCCGCTTTACCTTCCCGTTGATCTTGAATTCTTTATCCGCGTCTGGCTTTTGTGTGTTCCCCTCCTGAAATTCGTATGCTCGTGCTTCGTTTTGATCGTATTCCTTCGTGTTGACGTGCTGCATGGGCAGTTGGATCCCGTTGCTCTTGATCCGCGTCTCGCTTTGGGGTTCCCGCTCTGGTTCTGATTGGTATGGGGACGGTTAATTCGGATGCTCGTGCTTCGTTTTGATCCGGTCGCTTTGTGGTGGCGTTCTGTATGGGGAGGTGCATTAGATTGGTCTAGAGAGGGCTGGTTCTGATGCTCTAGAGCCGTACCATCAGCTTGCTTGCTTCGTTTTTCCATGCGCTGAATCTTGCTTCGTTTTTCCGTGCGCTGAATCTTGCTTCGTTTTCCCGTGCGCTGATCTTGCTTCGTTTTCCCCATGTTGCATGCTGTCCCCCCAACATGATACCATCGCTTTAGGATATGTATGAAATAGTTGCGTTAGGGTGTTGATAACTTATTGTTCCGTGCTATCTGCTGTGATTAGGACGTCATATTTCACGGGATTGTGCTACAGATTCAATTTGCCTCAAGGGTAGTAAGAAGTTTCATGTGTGGGAACAAATTTTTTAAGGCTGTATGTTCTTTGTGACATGGAGGGAGCATTGCAGAAATATATGAAACATGATGAAATTAAACTGGACGTAGGGACGCTGGGATATTATTCGGTCTCCTACTCACAATTTCATTGGGTATAGGGCGAGTGCTACCTGTGGCTTAATTTCTTGTTATTAGGTCTATGATGAAAGCTTTTGTGCTTACTGTTCAGTCTATCTGACATAATTTGTTCTACCTGACATCTACAGGGTTCACTTGCTAGTGTTGCTGATTCTACTATTCCTCTTAGCCAGAGTTCCCTCATCACAGGTAAAAAAGAAATATATCCAAAACCTCTCGTGACTTCTGTGAATCCTCAATTTCCCAGGTTCATGTTGTTCACATGGTTTATCTTGAACATATTTCATGTGAAATATATCCGTGCTCCACTGCTCCTTCAAACATAGGGAAATATATGCATGTTTGCAGAGTCTAATTAGTGATATCTTCTTTTTTTTATTATAAAAAAGAGAATGAGGATCCATTACATTTATATGGCTACTTGTTATTAAAATAAGTTATCTGGACGATAATTAGAGGACAATTATTAGATGATAATCTCATGTTTTTATACTCTGAATTTTCAATTATATTGTTTAGTGCTATACCACCTAATATCATCTCGACTTATCAACTGACTTCTCTCTTTTTTGTATGATAATTTGTAGAATTTTGCCATGTGCCTTTTCCATAATTATCGTGCATGCACACTTTTTCAAGTTTGCATCAATTTTTCATGCTGTAGTTGAAGAACAACATATAACATATTTTGCATTTTCGAGGTTGTTATTATCATTCTTCTATTAGGAATTTCTTGATGTATTAGGCGATAGAACATACTGTCTGTACTTGGGCAGTAAATTTTACTTGATCCTATGACGACTTCTTCATGCAAACTATTTGACTGCGTATTTTTATGTTAGTTTGGTTGGGGCTCAAACTTGTTTTTTGACTGGTGGACATTTTTATTAGTAGATTAAATAAAATAGATTTGGTTGCACTGAAAAATGTCATTGACTGTTTGAATCTATAGGTAAGGCTATATGTGATTGTTCCATTATACAACCAGACCTTTACCCTCTGTTTCGATAATTTTCCAGGCTTTCTCAAATGGGAAAAGAGAATAAATTTGAGGGGTTCACTCTCAGAAATACTGCCACTCTCTCACTGAATGGGAGCAACCAAGAAGTGCAGCAGAATCACCTCAACTTCACTGGATACCTGCGTGCATGGTGTTATGGACAAGGTCATCATGCTGATGTGTCTCGCTTATTTGATAGAGAATGTGTCATGTACACAACACCGGAAAGAGGAAGCTTCTATCTAGTAATTACATATGAGGGGAGATCACTGGTTTTCGTAATTGATGGCAGAAACCTGTATATCAAAGGTTTTACTGGACCAAACGGAAGCTATCAGTTGAGCCTAGATGAGCAAGAAGAAAATTATATGCTTCAAGAGGATTTGGAAATTTTGGACTTTCGTGCAAACTATCATGCCATAGCCCCTGGACATAATGTAGGAAACACATTACTTGGGCTTCACCCTCTCAGGAAGGCGTTTGATTGCTTATGGGCACACAAAGGTGGGAAACCTCATCCAATGTTAAGGCAATCAGTTGCTATGATATCTGTTTACATTTGTGAAGCTGCACGGTTCCAGCCTGTTCTTGATTGTGCTAGCACATCTTTGGTGGATGACAACATGAGTAGGCTCAACAAGATATCTCAGCTCTCTAAGTGTGTCACCAGTTGGAAATTTTTGTCATGTGAGATCATGACTCACATAAATTACTTGATGGCTGGACAGACACCTCGTGAGTTCAATAACCGTGGAATCAGCAGATATTCCTGCATTCAAGATTTGTTTCCAGAAGTCCGCATCCTATTCAGAGATGCCGATTGTACAGTTCCACCTCTGAATGGAGATCAATGTCCATTTAAGGATGAAGACTGTCCACAGTACCCTGTATTCGCTTCTCCTGTCGACCCAGGGCTAGGTGATCCAAAGATTGATGTTTCCTTTATTAAGCCTGGGGTGCAAAGTCTCTATTCTCATAACCCTCAGAGTGGTAGGAAGCGCCTGAATGAACATCAGTACCAGAAAAGTAGTAAAAGGAAAAAACCTACACTGGAACTTGAAGAAACTATTCAAGCAGCTAGAAGGAAATTTTACATGGGTGGGGGTGTTGGAGGCCCTGTTGCCAATGTTCCACCATTCTTTATTGAGCCCTGGGCGCCAAAGCTGACTGTCAGTAAACCCTCATCCTCAATTGATGGAACTGTAACCAGCCCAAAATCTGCAAAGAGGCCAATTGCTTCTGTTAAGACATCGCCATTTAGCAGCGGGCAGAAGAGGAACTTGAGCTATTCATCGAGTCCTGTTTGTATGAATGGTGCTAAGGCATGCGAGTTTCGATCAGCGATGAGTGCAATTGATGTGAGTGGTGACATGACCATCTCCAGGACTCAAAAGCTGAAAATGAGTTGAGGACAAATAACATCCTTGTCCGTCCCAAGAATTGGAGCTCCATCCAGCCTAAACTCTGATAATGGATCACTTTTTCCTTTGAGAGCGTCAACGTTGGGTGCTGTGAAGAAGCATATGAAGCTTCTGAACTGTTCAACAACTAGAAAATGTGTTAAGATGTGCATCTTACAGTTTGGAGCGAGTGCAATGAACATGCAATGGGAAAGGCCTGACTCTTGGACTCGGAAGCTGAAAATGAGCCAAGAACAATTTACACACTTCCCCTGCAAGCCGAAATTTTCAGATGGACCATCTTACCATATGAATCCTGACTCCAAAAGCTGGCCAGCCAGCGTGCCACGTCGCGTGCTTTTCCCGGCTGTTCGATCGGGCGAGCTGTGGTCTTTTTGCAAAAAAAGCCTCGAACTTTAGTCGAATCAACCTGCAGTCCAGGCCTCCTCTCATATTTTCTTTTTTAAAAAAAGCCCTCGAACTTTACCGAAATCAACCCTCAATCCAGGCCGGCCTGCCTTCCGCTCGGGCCTGACTTCGATCCGGCCTCCCGTGCCGTGCTCCCCCATTCGAATTCCGGCGCTCCTCCTCCCGTAACCCCATGCCGCGCCGCCGCCGCTCCCGTCCCCGCCGAGGGCTGCCCCCGTCCTAGCCTCCACTCAGGCCGCGCTGCCGAGCGCCGCCTTAACGGGAGGCCCGATGCTCCTCTTCCCACAGGCCCGCGCCGCGCTTCCGCGGCGGCCACTCCCGCCCTCGCCCCCGTCGCAACCCCCACCCAGGCTGCGCTGCCGAGTGCCACTGCCGCCACCGCCGAAGCGACGTGGCCGTTCGACGCCCGCGCCCCCGTCGAGGCCGCGCCACCACCGCCGCTGCTCGCCACGAGGGGCGCCGCACCTGCCCAGATGGCACAAGCTGTCTGCACCGGCAAAGGGCGGCGCGAGAGAGCAACGGGACCTGGTGTGGACGATCCGAGTGGGCTCGGCCAGAAGCTACAGGATTACAGGAGGTCCAACCACAACAGCAACTCTCCTCGCCCTCGGGCAGCTGCGAGTGTGCCAGCAGCGTACGGGCATAGCACACCTCGTGTCCCCGCGACCTGTTCGACGAAATGCTGCGTTGTGTCTACACGGACCAATGAGCAAACAATCAACCCCTGTGAAAGTATACGTACGTCAGGTACGTCTCTGGCAGTTTTGCTGGATTATGTAATCGAAACTAGATACCAATACTGCAACAAATGACTCACCAGGTAACTTGCCCAATTATCTGCTTTTTAATTTGGCATCAATCGGTTAGCTTCCTTCGAAATAAACCGATGTTGACTTAAATATTACTCATGTTCAGCATCATTATTAATTTTGTCTTCTTATTACAAGTGCTTGTGCAACCACTCAATGAAGCGATAGGCTAAACTCCAGAGCAATTTTTCGGGTTGTTACAACTGCAGATTTGCACCATTGTTATATTAGCCGTTTTACTGCTTGGTTGTAGCGCCAGGGCCAATGGCGCCATCGCTTCAGTTCACGATCTAGCAGGAGAAGGAGATATGGCACTAGCCCCTTGGCTCTGGAACTAAAATAAGATTACAATCTGCGAGATGAGGCCAAAAAGTACTTGTAAGAGGATAAGCTAAAGCTATCACCATATTCATATGTCTTTTATTTGTGTTAATTGGCTTCTGCTACAAATATACAATGGTCACCAAGATTGTTGTAGCTGTTATCTATTTTTCACCTTGAAGTCCGACCGTGTTATCTGAAATTGACATCTTTTATTAGACCTGGACATGACACCAATAGTGCTAACATGGAAATTGTAATCAGATCTTTTTAGAAGTCACGTGGTCATTTGTTTTGTTTTTACAAGAAATAGCAGATTGCTTAGCAACTGTCCCTGGCAATACTATTGCGATAATTTTCGTGTAATTGTGTGAGAGCAAGTGACACATGTACTTGTTTTTCCTGTCCACTACTTGGGCTGGACACATTATAATGAAACACATCTATGTACAAATATATCTGTTATTTTGTGCATCTCTTGTTACAAGCGTTTAATTTGAATTCTCTTTTATGCAGGATTTAGTGAAGAAGTACTCTGAAATCATCAACTCAACCAAGGAGGTTGATGTTGACAACCCCAGAAACTACAAAGGAGGAAGACAAAGAAGAAGGTGAAGAAAAAGAGAAAAAGCCCAAGACGAAGACAACAAAGGACATCATGAGAAATGCTTCAACAACAAAGCAGTCTCAAGACCATCAAGAAGAAGCTGATCCACAAAGTACATCCTGATGAGTACAACAACAAAGATAAGACCCAAAAATGTTAGCAGTTGGGTCTGAATCCAAGTCCGCACTAAACTGTCTTATAAGTGCTCTAATGGAAGTCATCTGGAGTCAGATTGTACTCCTTTGCATGAAACACTAGACAAGGGCATGCAGATCTGAATGGACAAGACTATTCTTAGATCCACAACTCCAAACCATTAACTAATAGATATCCACAGAACTTCAAGAATACGATTATCTTTTGAAGACCTAGACAGTACTTGTTCATGTTAATAATCTGTGGCATTCAAGAGCTTCCCATCTTTGAACAAGACCTGACATTTCAGATTGCTACATCTTGACTTGTTTATTTTAAGAAAATTAAAAATAAATATTCTGGTACTTAATGTCTTAAACATGTTAGAAATTGTCATAACTTCTAAATTAATTATAGTACTTTCTTTAATGCTACTTGTACGTTTTTGTCTGATTAATTTTATAGATAACATAGTTTTGATCTACACTTCTAGCTTGACAGATACTATGAATGTTCTATCTTCTTCAGTTGCCTATATTTTCTGACCAACATTGTTATTATAGATAATTGAAAATCCTTAGATAATTCAAAATTGAGAGCATAGATGATCTTGATTTCAGTGTTAGATGTACTGTCTTTACTACTGGCTTTTAAATCTGAAAGTAGTTGTAAACTCTGGCATTCTGCTAATTGCAGGTGAAGTATGTTAATTCTGTACCAAAGCAATTTATTTGATTCCATTCCATCTCACCATAGTTACACTGTTTGTCATTGAGATGTGAGAGGTTGCAGTGGCAGGATAGCAGCTCCATAACGGCCACCAGTTGCTTGATCAAATGACAAAAAAAAAGGAAAAAAAAAACTAGGCTGGCGAAATCAGGCAGGGCGCGGCAAAGCCGCGCCGAGTTTTCTAGTTTTCCATGACTATGCCACATGCTTGTGGAGAAAAGATGGGCATGGGAAGTGTATGCAACTTCCAAGTCGGAGCAAGAACGCAGCCATGGAAAATGGACTGGCTTGATACTGGTCGGTTAATTAGATCAAACAAATGCAATGTGCTAAAATGGTATAATGATAACAGACATGGCACAGCCTACTCTGGGCATGCCAAGATGGTGGCGACACCTAAATCTTTTCTTCAAACCATCAGTAAGTTTTTTTGGCATATGTACTATTCTGCTGTACGGATATACATTTTTGCACTCAATTTTATCAATGATCTTTTGACTGTTTTTGCTGTTAAAACTGGGCAGAACCGAGATGCGGTTGGCTTTTCTCTCGGGTGGCTCGACTTTTGCATTGAATTGAGTTTTCGACATCCTTTACAAGTGAAGATGTGGTAACTGCTGTAGTATTCTGGGAGCCTGGAAGAAGGCCAAAATGAGGAGTGATTTCATATTCCAACAATGTGCTATAGACATGTGCATGAGGAGCGAACTACTTAACAATAGCGAACGATAATGTTCAGAACTTTATATTGCTTTTTGTGATACAAGTTGAGTACGGTATACATTTCTTTTTTTTTCTTCGACCAATTGTGTATGTGTGTGTTGTTTTGAGGGGGGGCCCCACCTCCTATCCAGATTCACTGCCCAATAGGAATGAGAGTTTACAGCATACCGATGAGATTTCTTATACATTTCTGAAGAATATATGTCGAATAAATGCCCTTGTGAATCTAATTCCCAATGCATGCATGATCTGGTGGTATATATAAATTGGGTGTTATTTTTAACTGTCCTTGCATTGCTATAGATCGCCAGGTGTATTAGAAATGAAACTGCTTGGTAGTGGTAGCTAGCCTAATCCTTTTTCTACTTCGTTTTTCTTTACTTTGGCTATAGATACGAAGAAGAGCTCATCTTGTTAATTATGGCGTCTTGTATTGTCCCCAGTGGCTCAGCATTTGCTAGCTTGCATACAGGTGATGCTATGGCCATATTGCCATATTGGTCCCTAGTTTTGAGACGCCTACTCTCGCAAGCTAGCGGTTACTATAACTAAGCCCGCGCGAAGAGCATTCAGCCGTCTGGCTGAAACTGGAACGATAACAATCTGACAGATGGAGAAGCGGAACAAGTTTGCTTGCCTGACATCTGCAATTGACACCACAACCCTTGGCAGCGAGCGGCGGAGCTGAGCATAGCGGAGGATGAAGATACATGTTTGGATGGGTGAATGGAACCAATTCATCAAATTGATGGAACCACACCATTCATGATCATCTCATATATCACTGTTGGTGACCAAAAATGTCCCAAGGATATAGCAGGAAATTTGGTTCACAATATTCACCTTTGTCAATTGAAAGCAAATATACAATGGCGGCGGTTGTTTTGGAAGGGCCAGACGTGATGAGTATGGCCTATGTTGCCCAACCAGGCCCACCTGTCACTGGACCAAAGACATAGGACAATACCGCAAACGAATTCACAGTTCCATTTTGTTATACCATGCTGGCCCTGTTTGGGAACGCTTATATGAGAATCGATTTTAATCTGATCAGGATTTTTTGATAAGCTGCGACGAAAAGAATCTGCTGTCTAAACAATCGAGGGTGTATGGCAATCCTGATTATTGCCCTTAGATTTATCATCTGGTGCAAAATTACACTGTATACCCACGACGGTGATGACACCTCATTTGTTATTTGAATAAGAATGTCAGTTATGGTACTAATTTTTTGTGTTTCCATAATAAGTGTGTGACAATAACTCGAATTGTTTGCAATAGAAATTAACAAAAGTCGGACAAATTGAATCGTACTAAGAGGCAGTTAATCAGTCCAAATGAAGAATAGATGGGATAGCATCACAAGAAGAACTATAACCATGGAAATCTTTGAAGCACTTCCTTGGATTAGGGAGGAATCCTAACACCGGTTGTATTGTGGCTTCTTGGATATTTGAGCAAAAAGTGAGCATACAATCCACAAGTATTTTTCTCACGAAATGTGAAGTTGTTATGTTTTCAAGCAACTATAATTTTTAATTTTTTTTCATTTAATATTTTCTTCAAGAGAATCGTCAGTTGTATAACTTTAGGAGATAACCCACTTGAGCAAGAGGACTCAAACTTGAAAGCATTATTGATCATGTTTGATGCAATTAGTGTTACTAATGAGACTTGGTATGTTCCCTGTATGGTGGTAGTGATCCTTTCCAAACATGTCAAAGTGAGGATACTTCCCTACATTTTGTAAAGGAGGATGGTGTGACACTCAAAGGTCACACCCAATTTGCATAAATGATTTGGGTCAAAAAGACCAGCATAATTTCACCTCCTGAAAAAGAAGAAGAAGTTGCTTTAGAGATCAATGCATGAAGATTTAGTGGATGCATATGAGAAGAAGGCAGGCCAAAGTAGTAACAAAATGAACCACTTCACATGTCATTGATCATGTTAGAGATGAGGTTACTAAAATGATTGATCAAGTCATTGAGGATGGTGCCGAGGAAGGGAGTGATGAGCATTACTATGCACACAACTACTTATGAAGAAGGAGTATCGTGACATGTTTAGTACTTTGAAGACACCTAGTGGGAGGTTAGGATATACGAAGGGCATCCCACAATGGAAGACAAGAACAAGAATTAGTGTTAGATTGAGGTACCTCTGTACATTTATGTTTTATTTTCTAATTCCTTGTGTGAGACTATTGCTATGTTTTCCAATTCCTTGTGTGAGACTATTGCTATTTTTTCCAATTCCTTGTGTGAGACTATTGCTATTTTTCCACTTGTGAGACTATGCCATAATTTTCTACATAAGGTGTCATGAGACTATGTGCCTGCTCCAGCCTTCTCACTTGGGTCCAAGTGTTTTTTGTCATTGGGGTGGATTTTCAAGTGTTACATTTGGATTTGTGTCAAGTTGGAATATTTTGTGTATTTCCCTTGTTCTGTCACCTAGTGTTTCATATCTTCTATTCTCCTAATCATTAAGTTTTCTTATGTTATTTTGGGCCGTGTGATATGCATTTTAACCTATGTCTTATTGTCGTGACTTACATGTGTGACACAAAACATCAATCCAATCCTATGCGATTCATGTACTTTCCTTGACATGCCAAATTGTTCCAAGGCCTATTCTTGAGAGGTAAGACATATTCCCACCTGCGTTAATTAATGTTCAAGTTCTTAGAAGCATATTAGATTATAGGTGGGAGTATGCTTTATGTCAACCTACATTATAATCAATTTGTAATCTACAAAGCGTTGGATGTGAGGAAATATCTAATTGGTGGATCTTTTTGTGTCACAGATAATTATGAGTACATCTAGTGCTTCTAGTGAAATTGACTCAGATGATGATGACTTTATGGTGGCATACATTGCTTTGGAGTGCATGGTAGTAGTAGAGGTAGAAAGAAAGCTGAAATTCCTATGACAATTCCAACTATGGGAGGAATCCAAAGGTTGAGATCACACTCCAAAATCCAACTAAATGCTATAACATGTTCGTAATGAGAAAAAAGCTTTTCCTACACCTTCATGACACCTTGGTAGAAAATTATGGCTTCAAAGCAAGTAGAGGAATGTCTCACGAAGGAAGCCTTAGCAATGTTTTTGTGGGCATGTGGTGCACCTCAATCATTTAGGCAAGTGAAGAACAAGTTCACCCACTCATTAGAAACTATTAGCAGTGAAATTTACAGAGGTACTTAATGTGTCATAATTCTTGTTCTTTTTACATTGTGAGGCCTACATATCCACATTTTAGTTCTATACATCCTAAGCTACAAGAAGCTAGGTTTTGGCCTCATTTCAAAGATTGCATTGGTGCAATCGATGGCACATATATACTCAAGAATCGCTTCCATTGCATGAGCAACCTAAATACATTGGTCAATCATGGTTATGCTCATCTCTAAAATGTAATGGCGGTCTGTGACTTTGATATGCGGTTCATATTTGTTACTTTGTTGCCTTCGGATCTCATATGACACTGTGTCTTATTGATACTCTAGTCACATACAAGCAACAATTTCCACACCTCCCGAAGGTATGTATCTTTTGGACTCAAATCATTTTTTTGCAATTGACAAGCATATGAGCTGTTAGTAACCTACAATTACAAAATGTAGGGAAGTATTATCTCTCGATTGTGATATCCTAATAAAAAGGATATCTTGCACCATACAAGGGACAAAGGTACCATGTTTCTCAATGGCAACACGGTCGCATCAAACAGGATTCAAGGAGGTGTTCAATAATGTTATTCAAGTTTGAGAAACGTGATTGAGAGGTCATTTGAGTCCTAAAGATGAAATGGCGCATTCTCTTGAAGATGCCCAAATATTCAAATGAACAAGCAATCAAAAATTATAGTTGCTTGTATGGCTCTTCACAATTTCGTTAGAGACAATTCCATAAATGATGCTCACTTTCAATCAAATATCCAAGAAGAAGGTCCTCAGATCTAATCCAATCCAAGCTCTCGGGTGAAGGAAGTGCTTCGGAGATGATATAGATATTCTTCATTTTATGTGATGCTATAGCCATTTGTGCTATGGTTGGTTGATTAACCGTTCAGATCGATCTCAATTTGTCCAGACTTTTGTTAATTTCATGTTGCCTACACATTAGTTATTGTCACAAACTATATTATGGAAACACAAAAAATTAGTACCATAACTGTTTTCAGCTCTTATTCAGTGAACAAATGAGGTGTCATCAGCCTCAGGGGTATACAGGTAATTTTGCACTCAGGACAGACAATCTAAGGACAATAATCAGGATTGCCATACACCCTCGATTGTTTAGACAGCAGATTCTTTTCGTCGCAGCTTATCAAAAAAATCCTGATCAGATTAAAATCGATTCTCATATAAGCGTTCCCAAACAGGGCCGGGCGAGTTAGGGCGGCCGCCCTAGGTCCTCTTGGCGGGGCACCACGTCCCAACCGCCTGGAGGCCGCCGGAGTTCCAGACGAAGAGGCGAAGACGGCGGCGTGCGGCGCTGTTTTCCCCTCCGCGAGGCAGAGGCGCATAGCGCAGACGCAGAGCAGAGGCGTCATGGCCTCATGGGCCACGGTCGAACTCGGCCCTCGTATTGGCCCAGCAGCCTAGGCTCCAGCCGCCGGCGGCCGGCGGCACTAGAAAGCAGTTCTCGTGTTTGAATTTTATAAATTGTAGATAGAAGTGAAAATCTTTCGGTTAATCCCATATGATTCCAAGAAGACAGACAAAATAGAAAGGGCCTTGTATTGTCTGGATTGAACTGACAACCGCACTTCCAATGAACTTTGCCCCCCCCTTCTTTCTCTCATTTGAGACGGTACCAGTGTTAAGCCCTGCGTTTTCTTTATTAAAAAAAACCATCCTAACCACACCTTAACACTGGACAGGGAGGATATTTTATTCTTTAGAATTAAGCTCCATATTCTATTGAAATATATATAAATCGATTTCGGACTGATAACATTACATTGATTTGAAATCTTGATGATTATACCATCTTATTTCATTAATATGCTAATATTGGCTTTTATGCTCTTTGCCAACAGAGCTCCTTGTGGATCTCCAAGCATGTCCAGCAGCGGTGGAGAAAAGGGCGGGGAGTTGGATAAACCAGGCAGGTGTCTCCTCATCCCTTCTGCTACCGGCCCTAACTGCAATGATGTCATGATTTCCCTGGGCGAGTGCTTTGCCATCAATCAAGTTATAGATAATGAAGAGAAGAGGGGGGCAATCAAGCAATCCTTTCCTCATGGCCATGGCTATGCCCATCCTGCTAATGAACAAGTGAGAAGCAGAAATGAGGATATAGTTTATGGCAAAAAATATGTGAGTACACCAGTTATGGAGGTCACCAGTGGGAAAAGTTATTCAATGGGCACAACCTCCAAGGTCACCGATGGCAAGCAAGATGCAAGGAGGTCAGTAGGAGATAACATTACTTTGTGTGGTGATGGCCATTCTAGCGATGGCGAAGTAGAATTCAGTGAAGGTGAGGACTATGAGAATTCGGCAGAGGAGGAGGACATCTCTTGTTACGATGATGACATAGTTCGTTCTTTATGTATATTTGATAATTCCAGCCACCGTGATGGTTCTATGATTCTATCTACAGGGGCACCCTAGAATGGAAAGAGGTCTATCGTATTGCTGATCGTAATGAGAGTAAGTGATCAAATGCCTCTTTTCCTATTTTCTACCATTTTGTTCTTAGGGCATTTTCTCAAGCTGTAATTCAACTATTGTATTCTATAAATCTAGAGGTTAGTTTTGCTTTATTTTATTTACTTATAGTGCACAAGTTGCAAGAGCAACATGTTTGAAAAAGTCTCATCTAACATTAAATATTCATGCGAAAATGTTTCAAAGATCCCCATTGCCAGGACTATTTTCCAAAGGAACTGTGGAGGCAATGAAGAAGAAAATAGGCAGTGTCTGAATGGACAATCTAGTTCTACTTCTACCCAGGGTTTCGCGAATCATTTTGTTATGAATTGATGGGTACATGAGACATGTTAGACAGTAGTTTTTTTAAATGTCCAGATAACCACATAGATGTTTGTTTTTAATTTCACATTATCTCCACAAGACCACTCCCACTAAAATAGGGACACTTCATCCCATGTTCCATGATGACATTAGTATTATTCCCTCTCCTCTTTATAGAAGTTTATTTTAAACTAGAACATTTTACCATGACATATGACATGCACCATGTTAAAGTACAATCCTGTATTTTCTCATGCATATTGTTTCTTATTTCTGGGGTTGATCAGTGTTGCGTGATGCCCCTCTATGAAAATAGTTACAAAACTTTATAAAATATGTTTTTGACATAACATTCATGGCCCCCCTCTTTTCCCCCCCTTCACTTTTGTGGGGGTGGAGAGTGAGACCCCAAAAAAAGGGTGGGTGCATGTGTTTGTGTCTAATGTATTAACTTACTATTACAACATAACATGTAACTTTTTTTAAAGCTCGATTGGAGGCAATGACGCTATCGGATCCCAAAGATTGTGTTTATCAACTAGGTGGAGTTTGCACAGCACATCACTCAGGTCATTTGTTTCAATTTTTCTCAGTAAAGTTGGCTAAAATTCCCATGGACCGTGGCTCAGTAGAGTTGTATGGATACATAGCTGTGCGGGATTGTCTGGATCCATTACTTAACTATATTGTCAATATTAGCAGGTATGACCCTGTCATCATGGAACAGGTACACATGTGCACTTATCTACAATTATTTTAAATTACTATATTTATTTCACAATATATGGTCAACCTTCTTGCATCCATTGAACAAATGAGATATGAGCACACATACTTCTTGGCAGCATGCTACAAAAATCTATTTTACATCATTAAAGTCGGGGTAGAGCGAAAGTTTTGCATTAACTATGCTATTGAGATTTGCACAGTTTGCACTCTTGATTTCATTGTTAACTAGGAACGATATTAATTTATTGTGTTTTTGTGCCATAGGTATTTATTATGTGATTGTTTACCTCCTTTAGTAACACTTTGGTGTCATATCTGCGAAAAAAGGCTTCTAACTGAGTCATATGTCCTGAAAGGCTGAATTCGGCTCACCTTGCTGCAGCTGCGGCTGCACTGTAGGTAGCAGTCTAGCAGCTGCAGCAGCAACCATGCAGCGGCATCTGCAGCCATAACATCCGAACAGGACAAAAGTATATAATGTTTGGGCTGTAGAAGGCACGACTATACCATACCCAAGTTATATATCGTGCAAGGTCACTGTGGTAGCAGACCTAAAATGCAAAACTAGGCTTTGCAAATTGCAGGAAAAAAAATCAAATAATATGGTTGTTGGACCCTTGGTTAGTTGGTTGCTACATTTTCCAACAGAGTTGTTTTGCCTTTGGTTATGCAAAATTTGATTTATTTTTTGTCTACGGGAATACAGTATGAAGATGCATAATTTGAATGATCCTATCCACAACAAAGTTTTTTTCCCTCTCTTTTCATTGGACACTGCCATATACAATTGAATATTTAGGAATTGGGAATGTAATCAAATAAATAGTTGCACGATTTTCCTTTTATTATGTTTGGTGCTAGATAAACTACTTAATCCTCAACCGCAAAATATCTCTTTAACTTAATATATTGTTATAAGTGAAATATGTTGTAAAGGTAATAATTAGCTTTAGATAATTCTAACTTTGCTACGAAGAGTTACTAAACAGCAGCTTAAAACAATTTTGTAGGGTTCCCTCATTGAAATGTCTGGCCCTAAGCGAGGTATCGATATGTATGGCGATGCTCTACTTGAATACGACATGAGGATCAAGACAGGGGATCGAGAAGAAGATGACTTACAGCTGATTGATGGTGTATCAGTCCTCCCTGATATAATCTTGAGACCATGTAACCCATACACAAATCGCCTTCGTGGTGATCACGGTGCGGTTGACATAACCCGGGCACTTCTTTATAAAGCAGTGGAGGCAACAGTAGAAGTCGCCATATCAGAAGTGAGGAGCAATTTCGATCTATCTCTTAGCTCTTTTACCAGTGGGATAGATAAAGAAATCCAGCTCTTTGGTGGCGCCATTGGTGAGCCGCGCCGCTTGAGGCGGTATGTGGTTGCTGTAGTGCTAAACACTTCGCTGCATTTGAAGTTTAAGGTTCGTTCAGAGGAGCACGATTGCTACTTCAAAGCAACTGCCCATGGATGCAGCAGTCAGCATGTACGGACCGAGCTGGCCTCAATCTCGGTGAAGGTGGTTTGGTCAACTATGCCTGCTTCCTTTCGGGCAAATTAAAACTCTCTTATTTTTGGGCAGTCTGTGAACGCCCTCAGTCGAAATGATTTGCGGTCCTGTTTTGCCTTTCGTTTGTCAGATTTATGCCTGTATTTTTTTTCTGGGAATCGTAATAATATATCTGTGCTTGCCTTTCGTTTGTCTTGGGTGATTTTCTCTATGCATTCGAGTTGAACTTGTTGCGTACATATTGGTATTAGATTTTATATTTTTTCTCGACCATTTCTTGTTACTATTCCATGATGTGTAATTTACACCGACACGGGAATAAGCAACAGAGTCATTTGACGTGACTCTTACACAGATTATCAATGGATCAGCTTCGTGGATTACACAAATCTGGCCCTGAAGCCTGACTCAGAGCCCACTCACTGCAGCGCTGCTCGCCTTGCTATTGGGCCTGAGACCCAACCAACCTCACGCGAGGCCCAGGTAGAGCAGTCTCTTGACGGCCCCAGGAACACGTGTCACCTTTCCATAGGCTGTCATTCTATGTACCATGGGCGATTTGATTTGCCTGTGTTCCTCGCCATGGATTAGACGTGGTTTTCCTTTGATTTTCACTTCCTTTTGGTCTGCAGTGACATCGGAGATAGGGCTCTATATTATGAGTTCCCACTCATAATATAGAGCTCTATCTTAATACATGACGCCTTGTCCAGTCGTGTAAAGGGTGTCTCCAATCGAAATAGCAGGTCCCTTTGCGTCTCCTTTTTCTCCTCTTGTTTCTCCTCCGCCTCAACATTCAGCTTTCTAAGGGCAGTCCCAATGGAACATTAATGATAATTTTTATTTATCTTAATTACTTTGACAACTCAGTAATTTGCTGGTGTGACAAAGAAATTAATGTAGAGAGAGAACGCAAAAACAGAAACCGTTTCTAGAGGAGTGAACGACGTCCTCTCGTGAAAACCATGGAAACAGCGTTGGGGAGACGACTCATTTAGATCGCCCTTTGTCGGATCTAGTACACCGCTGCCGTCGGCCGCCGCGCACTTCTTCTCCGCGCAACCAGGATCCATTCGACCAATTTTCTCCGCACTCGTTCTTCATCCGTTTGGCCAGAGCAGGCGGACGCAGATTGACTGTCGCCACCGTTGCCGGTGCCGCCCGTGCTCGCCCCTCTAGAAGCCAAGGCCGCCGGGTTACGGCTGACCTCGCCCACCGCGAAGAGACCACCGCCCACCCCTCTGCAGTCTGCACGTACGTCGCCATGGTCTGGTGTGCAGCCAGCACTAATTGCAGTCTGTTCAGTGAGTTTTGCATCTACTTTTGACTAGAACATGTGAACTGTGCCATGATCTTGAAATTAGCAACAAGCTTGCCATCAGTTTCCTCCGTATTTTTAAAGTTTATGTGACTGTACAAGCTTAATTGGCCAAAGATTGTTTTGTGGCTACATATGTGCTACAAATATCTTTGCTACAACAGATCAAGCTCTATTTGTGAAGCATGCATGAGGTCATTAATTTTTCTAGACTTAGAAACTACTATAGAAACTTTGCATTGCCGATGTTAGGTCTAAACTAGAATTTACTACTCTTATAAACTACATCTAAAAACTATGCATCGAGACTGCTCTAATATACTTGCTCTAAGCAAAGTAGGTGATTCTTGTGTAGTAGAACCCAGGGATGAACATTACAATACCCAGAATCACGAAGAAAATGCCTGCTCCACCAAAAAAGGGGCAAAAGCTCAGCAAGAAGGGACAAGTTCTTGCATAGTCGCAACAATATTTGCCCTGTTCGCTTGGCTGATAAGCCATGACTAAAAGTACTGTTGGCTGATTTGTTGTGAGAGAAAAATACTATTCATTAGCTGAAAAAGTACGGCCTATAAGCCAAGCAAACAAGGCGATTAGATAGAACACAAAGTTGATGCCTTGGAGAAAGCTACTGAAAAAAAGTTAATGTTGTATCAGTGCTTGAAAGGAAATCAACGTCAATGCAGGTTCTCATGCCTCCACATCCAAATCAGAAAATCGCATTATGTTTCAGTTTGTACTGCTCTCAATTTACGAATTTGACACTGCCGCATCCTTATAAAACCGCGAACACAAGATACGTGCCCTTGTGGTTCGGATTTGTAATGAGTGATTGTCAACGTGATTTATGTCCTGGGTTGAGTTTATGAACTAACCGTGGTGTGAGTTGGTTTGTGCGACATGTCTCTTAAGTTGTGGTGTGCAGGTGCGGAGCTCGGAGACGGTGGTTGACGACGAGGTGAAGGTCAAGTAGGAACGTGCCGTGCCGATGGACCGGGAGCGGTCAAGGACGGACGTGAGGATTGGACTGTGGGACCAGGAGGCCAGGTGACTAGCCGCGGTGGTTGATATCTGGGACATCGACAAGCGCAACTGTATATGGTGGAGTGACCGTGTTGACCGAGTCAAGATGGCGGTCGAGCGAGTTGAGCAGGGCTCTGGAAAACTTGGTGGCCGGCCGATCAAGGATGGCGATGACACGTGTCGAGTGGCGGGGGCCACGTATGGAGTACGCTACTCGCGGCGGTTTGGTGGGTAGAGCCTCAAAACCATTGGGTGACGGTTTCGCGGGTTTAGCCTCAAAACCCGGGTGGAGGTTTCGAGGAGGAACGGGGCGGCACGTGACAGAATTACAGAGGTTGCGTCGAGGCGAAGCAAATTTGTGCAAGAAGCGTGGCCGCTCGATCGACAGAAAAAGAGTTAGACCATTACGCCCTCGGGTTAATGGTTTGACTCAAAAATATTTAGAGATAAAACTGAGATTATGTAATAGACCTGTTAAATAAGATGAGGGTGCCCGTCACCCTTACCTTTTTCTCATTTTCGTTTTTCCCCTTCTCCCTAGTTTTCCCCTCTCCTACTATTCCGGAGAGAGGTCCACTTGTGAAGAAATTTGTGAGTGTAATCAAACCTGAGATTTGTGTGGGAATAGAGGCCCGAATCCTCCTCGTGTCCTCTCGGATTCGTCACTTTTACCTATGATTTTTGTTTGTCTGAGTTTCCTTTTTGTTCCCTATTTTCGTGTCAGTCTACGATCTGATTTTCCCGGAGTTTGGATCAATCCCAGACGATGATTTTTTGGGATAAATTCGTGCTAAGCTGAATTTCATCTGTGCAAAGTTTGGATTCGTTTCGTTGCGATTTGGTCGAGTTCTCTTTGATTTCTGGAGATCGCGGTTGCTCTGTTCTTAGCGCCAGGGAGCGTTCGTGTTCTTGTTTGTCGTACGCGTGCTTCAGGTTGAGCTGAGCGTCCCTGGTCGAGCGCTTGCAGGTGCGTGCGGGCCTAGTGTCCACGGCCGAGCACAAACACTCCCGCATCTGCATCACCAAGCCCTGCGCGTTCCAGTCGTTTCTCACCGTGATGCTTTTCCTCGGTGCTGTGTCCAGGTCTGGCCCGAGCGGCTTTGCTTTGCTTCCTGCTTGTTCATCGTAGAGGACAAGTAGCAGGAGTAGCACATCACGTGAATTGTTTTTTCAAGCTTTTGGAGATGTCTCAATCTTTGCTTGATCTTTTATTTCCTATTGCTTGAGATGCTCCCTGCTGATTGGATCTCTCTGCAGAGCACGGTGGAGAGCAGCCCCCCACCTGCATCACTCTCTTTCAATTTGTGTGCTGAAGATTCCAGTCCGGAATTTCCAGCCCGTGTGCCTAGAATTTCCGGTCTCTATTATCCGAGCTCGCTATTTGGTCCGTGGTTTGCGCATTTGTGTTCCGATTCTCGTTTCGTCTTTTGCGTTGTTCTTCCATCGATCCCAAGGAATTTATTTAGGTACTCTTGTTATCAGTGGCTTGGTATTCTAGATTCGGAAAACTCGCTTCTAATAGGAGTTGAGTTTCTCATTTTCAGTCCTTCGGTTCGGGAAGTGTTCCATTTGCTTTGTGGCTTCCCGTTGTGTTCGTAAAGAACATCCACCCACTCGTTTTTCGGTCATGGATATCACGGTATTTGGTTTACGTGTTTGGCAGTGATTTTGAGACAGTGGCCAAATATTTTGTGAAAAATTTTACGGCTCCCATTCACCCCTCCTCTTGTCGCCATTTCCAGTGATTCAGAAACCCAACTACTAAACCTCTGCTGCCTCCAGAATTTCTTTTATGGAGCATATCGACTACAGAGACGTATTCAAATGCAATCAGCGCAGTGATGGCTTGTTTATACTCAAATTTCAGGTAGCTTCTTCTGATACAATGAATCATATAACTTTGGTAGGTGGCTAGGAACCTGCATTTCCTACTGTGGGACAAATTCGTTGACAGTTCATCCGATTACAGCCCAGTCAACTAAGGCGGGGCACCAACCCCTTAAATGTAAGCATCTCACCCAAATCCAAGTTCGATATCTCCTGATAGATTAATACCAATACTCCGTCACCTTAATTGCGCAAGCTAGTGACAGAAATTATCAATATTGGTAAACCTTAATAACCTCAATAAGAACTTCAGCAACACAATTAAAAGTGCCACGCTCCATGGTGGCTGTGTACAACCCTTAATAGGATGGACTCTTCACCATTATATAACAATTATCCACAGCATTAAAAGGATAGTAATTCAAAAGAACATGTTGCGTTGAATGCAGATAATTTAACATTAGTCAAAATAATCAAATGCACCAGTCTAGTAAATGTCATATAATTTGGCAGTCTAGTTAAGAACAATGTCTATCAAAGAACAGGTTTCGTCGAATGCATTGCTTGATGTATAGTAGGAACCTTTTAGAAATATCCCAAAACAGGGAGTATGCGACAATGATAGCAAAACAGGGTGTGCGAATGGCACAGTGAAGTACTCACCGTTAGTTAAAAACAGAAATGGAATCTTCAGGGTACCTGATAAGGAACAAATAACTGTGATCCATAATCTTTAACCCTAGTAGAAGCTATAGGCCTAACTTAGCAAATAGGAACATCAACATTGGCAGAACAAATTACTCTCACTGGTTCGCACTCCATAAATGAGTAAATGATGCAGCCTAAAAATTCAATTTTAAATCCAAATACGATTTAATAATGGAGTACACCTACACAAGACACAATGCCTAACGACTTGGACCCGTTCAACAAAATGCTCGAAAGACACGATTGCGGCAGGCATGGCCACATGTAAAAGATAATTTGCGATGAGAGATTAAGCATGATTACATAGCACAAATCTATATTTAAAATCTATACTGCTCTTCAGGTTCAACCTAGCATAGATTCATATTGTGAATTTATAATACCCCAAGGCAAACATTGAAATCATGCAGGATTATATGATGTGAATTGGGAACATACCAGTAAGTGTTGTTCTTCCGTTGAAGGACCTGTGTCCTCCAGAAACAATTTTTTAGAACCATCCGAAGGAACATTGCAATTATGAGAAATATGGGAGCAGCTGCCTCAAATATAAATACAAAAGTCAGAGTTCAAAGTGATATTCAGAGTTTGACTTGTGATCAAGCAACCGATTATAGGCCTGTTCAGATAGAGATAAACGGAATAGGTGGTGTAGGGCCTTTTCCTGATGAGCTAATCTAAGAGTGATACATTTGTTTTTAACAAAGGAAAATAGCTCATGAAAATTTTGTCAAGAAAGAAGGAACTGATCCATCCCAAAAAGGGATAACTGAACCCTGTCCACTGGCCGAAAAGGGAGCCCAAAACCCATATCTGTCCCTTCTCTTTCTCTAACTTTTACTAATTTGAAACAGATCGACTGCTCAGCCCACACAGTCCCTACTTTAGAATTTAGATGATCATCTCCATCTAAAGCCAAAGTCTATCTCTATCAATCAAACAAAACAAAGACAGCAACTGCACAATACAAGTTGCAGGCACACAATTGGCAGGCCTGTTACAAAGTTGCAGGGAAAACTTGCAATCTTTCGAAGCTGCATGACGCTACAACACAGTATAAGTTCGATGTAGCTGCTGCTAGTGGATTGGGACACATCAGAGCTTCATGCATTTCATAGATTCGTTCTGTACTTAATCTGTTGACTGGACAAAAATAAGGGTTTACCGTGTGTGATTGAAGAAAACGTCGACGTCGCCTGGAGCTTGAACGTCGCTCCTACACTGAACGTCAACCATGCACTTTTCCCTGTAAGATAAAACAATGAGACAATGACGCCTATGGTTAGGATAAAAGTGTTCAAGTTTAAATGATCGCATATATCTGCCGAATTGCGTATTTTCATGTAAACAAATTTATGAAGGGATTTGCTCTGGTACTCTTAAATAACTGTAGACCGTCCATCTAGAGATAGATTTGATAAAAGGTGACCTATTACCATCTACAAGGTAGTACTTGAAGATATAATTTCTTTTGTAAAGTGAATACAAAACGAATGTATCAGTCACTTTAGTCACAAGTGACGTGAAATGTAGTAGTAAGGAAGCAACGTGCGAAGGTTTAATCCACTGCAGCCATCTTTAATTTAGTGGCAGCTGAGTTTCGACCCATCTTTAATTTAGAAAT